CTTTCTAGTTAAGGTGGCAGCTGCCGCCATACTAGTGCCATCCTCGAGGTGCGATTCCTCCCACGTCCACTCTCATGGCCAGCATCAGCACAAACATGGCAAGCACCGAAAACAACACCAAGCAAGCCTTGGTTCTCCATGATTTGCTGCTAATACTAAGAGATCAACGAGTATATTCGAGAGAAGTGATTTGATCTGTGAGGCCGCTCTATCTTGTCAGTCGAGAGAGTTTACTGTATTCCAGGAAAACGCCAGTAAAAGCAAAGGAAATGATCGAGACGTTACATACAATGCTGTAACGTCTCTTGGGGCGGCATCACTTTGTCCTTTGAAAGTTAGTCGAGGAAATCGTTCCGTGTTTGTCAATTCCTTTTCTTTTCTATAATGCTGGGACATAGAACAACATGAATCCAGATGAGTAAAGGCACAGTTTATATAATATATATTATTGAACTCATGCATAACCACGCGCCATTGCTATAGACTTCACTGCCACCGAAAAGACAAATATCCAAATAAATAGCTGGATCTTGACGATCTTTAGAAGTTTTTCATTTCATTTTCGATCGAGAGAGCGGACGTGGTCGGTGTATGTAATTGCTAGACTTTGTCTTGGGAAAGAGGTCAAATTTGTTGAAATTTTTGTCTCCACTACTGCGTCTTATTTCCTTCTTGTTGCTTTTCCAAGTTCCACGTCGAGACTAAGATGGCAAACTTTTCATGACGAAAACATATATTATTTTATTTAATATTATATAATAATAATTTTTAGTCCAAAAATTTGAATTTTTTTTATATTACAAGTGAACCAACTTTCTAGAAAACACATTGACAGTCTCAGGGGCATGAAAATTTCAAACACATGAATAGAGATCACAGAAGATTCTCAGGACTCGTTCACTCTTATTCGATATATCTCATCCGCTGTCAGCCCAACTCTTCATGATTCGAGATGCGCTCCCGTGGTTCTTCAAGGCACCAGGCTAGCGAACTTTGGCGATTCTTCAGCAGCGGCTGCCGTTCGAGCGCCACCCTCGCTGGCATCGATGGCAACTGTTGTCATACCCGTACCAATTGCATTGCACGCAGCGAAATCCGTCGGCAGCGCTGCGCCATCGCCTTGGTGAGCAAGGTGTGCCTGAGCCTGGTTGTGACGCTCCAATCGAGTCGAGCAATCGATCAATCCAGCGATGCATTGATTGGAAGAGAGGAGGAGCAAGAGACACTTAGACTTTTTATATCAAGCTGGACAACTTATTTATTAATGCTGTGACTCATCACGATCAGAAAACACGTTACAGTGTCTTTATTCTTTCTTGGCACTGCAGAATGATGAAATCAAAGGCAATTACGATGTTCAATCTTAACATGGGCTTACCCCGTGAAATGGGATGTTTCAGTTGCGCCAACAGCGATTGTTGCGCCAGACCCAACCCCTCTGGCAACGGTGGCAACTGTTGTCATACCAATACCACCCTGACTGGCAGCGCTGGGCAGCAGCCTTTGCGATTCCTCCCACGTCCACGCCCATGGCCAGCATCATCACAAACATGGCAAGCGCCAAAAACATCACCAAGAAAGCCTTGTTCTCCATGATTTTGCTGCTCAGACTAAGATCAAGTAGGCTTGTATATTAGAGAAATGATTTGATCTGTGAGGCATGAGAGGCTCGTATTTATAGCTCGAGGCAGCACAAAATGTTAGATGGACGCTGGAGAGTTGTCTTGGGACGGCTTCGCTTATTTCTTATCTCTGGAAGAATATTTGAAAGTTAGTCCAGTAAAAGTGGTTCCGTGTTTGCCAATTCTTCTTTTTCCTATAATGCTTCTCCAACCCTTCAAATCCTTATCTCCAAAGTCACTCTATCATTCCTCTTCTAGCTTTGCCAAAACTTTACAAGAGTTTGATTCAAAGTTCCATAGAAATTCCATGCTAATATACTAAACACGAACCTAATACCTTGTCTTCCTTCTCGACCACAGACTCAGTACGGCCGCTTCCAGTCACCCGCAACATTAATCAAAGTGGTAAATGCTACATCGTCTCTTCTCACTGGCAGGCTCTTGACAATCTCTTGGGCATTCTAGAAAGTGACATCAATAATTATCAAGATTTTATTCATTAAAATTGTTTTTCTTATTTAAGTTAAAGAATTTAAGTTAAGTTATTAATAGAATGTTATTCTATTAATTAGATGTTGTTAAAGTTATACTCTTTAACGTTAACCTGCCAAATAGACTCATGTGAAGCTGCTTTTGCAGATTCGACATGAGCACGTAGAGCACTAGAGTCCCCTGGTTTCATCTCCAAGAGTTTCTCTGCGGCACGAGCTGCAACATCGATGTTCTTGCCGCTACCATGAACTTTGCAAGCGCTGATCAAGCTCTTCCACGAGAGGAAATGCGGCTGGAAGGGCATCACCAGCAGCAGACCTTCAGCCTCGGCAACCATCCCGGCTCGTCCCAGCACATCTGCCATCGCCTGGAAGTGAATCACATTTGGAGAAATGCTGTACTCGGCCACCATATATCGAAAGCAGTCGAGTGCCACACGAAGCTTCCCACCGTGATTGCAAGTCAGGAGAATCGCCTGGAAACTTATCTCGTTTCTCGCCTCGCCCTCCATCGCCATGCTACCAAAAAACTCAGCAGCTTTTCGCTCATGGGTGCGCAGCCATGGATCATCGCGTTCCACGACACAATGCTCCGTTCAGGCAATGTGGAGAAGATCTTCCCGACCTGCAAGAGATTCCCCCTTTGAGCGCTCGCGGCAAGGATCGCGTTCCAGCTCGCTGTGTCTCTCACCGGCATGGCTGTGAAGAGCTCCCGCGCTTGGACGAGGCAATTGCTCTGGATGTAAGCTCCCAGCATCGTGTTCCACGCGGCACTATCGTGCTGTGGCATTTTGTCGAACAAGGCTCTGGCATCGATCAAGCTCCCGTGCAAAGCAATTGCCGCCAGCATTGCCGTCCAACGACGAGATCGCGCTGTGGCATCCGTGCAAACATCTTCATGGCTTCTTCGAGGTGGCCGTGGTTGGAGTAGGCCAAGATCATGGCAGTCCACACCACGTCGTCGTGACAAGGAGCTCGATCGAAGAGAATGCGAGCTTCTTCGAGCTGGTTTCTCTCGGCCAGTGCCGTGATCATTGTCAACCACGATGCAACGTTCCTCTGTGGCATGGCATCAAACAGAGACCTTTCTTCTTGCAGGCTGGACGTTGCCGCTAGCATTACGAGATTAAGTCGCGGTGTGGCATTTTACTGAAAAGCTCCTTGGATTTTTCAATATGCCCAAGCTCGGCATATGAAGTGACAAGAACAGTCCATCCCAGCTCGTTGGTTTGGGGATTCTCATAAACAAATTTAGCGCATCGTTAACAAGTTCTTTTCGTTAACCATGACAGTCCAAGAAACTATATTGTGTTCTAACATTCCATCAAAGATCTGGCTTGCCTGATCCATATGCCCGTTAGGAGCATATGCTGTAGGTAGCGAGTTCCAGCAAGCTACATCCCATTCGGGAACCTGATCAAATAATGCTCGGCATTCCTCTAAATTTCCATGGTTTTCATGAGCCGTGATTACAGTGACCCATGCAACAATATCCTTTTGTGGCATCTGGTCAAACAGCTCTTTTGCTTCCTCGAGATACCCAATCTGGGCATAAGCGCCAAGCATCAAGTTCCAGGAGAATCTTCTCATCCAGCTCTATGGAAGATGCGATCGCGCAGATCGAGCATGGCAGGTGTTTATCAGCATCCAAGAGCCCGTGTGTTCCCTCAACTTGTTCTTCATAGTTGAATTATACATTTAAAATTGCCGAGAGGAAACTTACGATCACAGAGAGGAGCTAGCTTTCTAGTTACGGTGGCAGCTGCCGCCATACTAGCGCCATCCTCGAGGTGCGATTCCTCCCACGTCCACTCTCATCCAGCATCAGCACAAACATGGCAAGCACCGAAAACAACACCAAGCAAGCCTTGGTTCTCCATGATTTGCTGCTAATACTAAGAGTTCAACGAGTATATTCGAGAGAAGTGATTTGATCTGTGAGGCCGCTCGTATTTGTAGCTGGAGGCAGCATACAATGCTGTGGCGTCTCTTGGGGCGGCATCACTTTGTCCTTTGAAAGTTAGTCGAGGAATCGTTCCGTGTTTGTCAATTCCTTTTCTTTTCTATAATGCTGGGACATAGAACAACATGAATCCAGATGAGTAAAGGCACAGTTTATATAATATATATTATTGAAACTCATGCATCACCACGCGCCATTGCTATAGACTTCACTGCCATTGAAAAGGACGAATATCCAAATAAATAGCTGGATCTTGACGATCTTTAGAAGGTTTCATTTCATTTTCGATCGAGAGAAGGGACGTGGTTGGTGTATGTAATTGCTAGACTTTGTCTTGGGAAAGAAATCAGATTCGTTGAAAATTTTGTCTCCACTACTGCGTCTTATTTCCTTCTTGTTGCTTTTCCAAGTTCGAGACTAACAAAAACATATAGATTTGACTCGTTCTAAATTGTTTTGATATTAAATGTGAACCAACTTTCTAGAAAACAGTCTCAGGGGCATGAAAATTTCAAACACATGAATAGAGATCACTGAAGATTCTCAGAACTCCAAAGCGTTTTCGTTCACTCTTATTCTATATATCTCATCCACGCTGTCAGCCCAACTTTTCATGATTCGAGATGCGCTCCCGTGGTTCTTCGAGGTGCCAGGCTAGCGAACTTTGGCGATTCTTCAGCAGCGGCTGCCATTCGAGCGCCACCCTCACGGGCATCGATGGCAACTGTTGTCATACCCGTACCAATTGTATTGCACGCAGCGAAATCCATCGGCAGCGCTGCGCCATCGCCTTGGTGAGCTAGGTGTGCCTAGGCCTGGTTGTGACGCTCCAATCGAGTCGAGCAATCGATCAATCCAGCGATGCATTGATTGGAAGTCGAGGGATTTGGAGAAGAGAGGAGAAGGAGCAAGAGACATTTAGACTTTTTATATCAAGCTGGACAATTTATTTATTATTGCTGGAACTCATCACGATCAGAAAACACGTTATCAGTGTCTTTATTCTTTCTTGGCACTGCAAAATGATGAAATCAAAGGCAATTACGATGTTGAATCTTAACATGGGCTTACCCCGTGAAACGGGATGTTTCAGTTGCGCCAGCAGCGATTGTTGCGCCAGACCCAACCCCTCTGGCAACGGTGGCAACTATTGTCATACCAATACCACCCCGACTGGCAGCGCTGGGCAGCAGCCTTTGCGATTCCTCCCACGTCCACGCCCATGGCCAGCATCATCACAAACATGGCGAGCGCCAAAAACAACACCAACAAAGCCTTGTTCTCCATGATTTGCTGCTCAGACTAAGAGAAGAGAGAAGTGGTTTGATTTGTGAGGCAGGAGGGGCTCATATTTATAGCTCGAGGCAGCACACAATGCTTGATGGAGTCTAGAGAGTTGTCTTGGGACGGCATTGCTTAGTCCTTATAGTCAAGTTCCGTGTTTTGAAATTTCTTCTCTTTTCTATAATGCTGGGATCCACATAATTCTCGGGCGCTCTCCAAATGAGGATCCTTACATGATTTGTTTCTCCCAAGTCAGTCACTCTAGCTCGACAAAATCTTCTACCGTTGCTAAAACCTTACAAGTTCATACTACTTGCAGATAGAGAAAGCCGTTTGGCTCGAAAGATGGAAGTAGCCTAGTGTTTGAAAGCAACACATGTTCTTGTAAGACCCTCGGCCCCCTCGGCCCGTGTAGGAGCTGGAGTGGTTGATGGTATTCCACTCTCTCACTTATGTTGTCTCGTTGTCTCCACACTCTCTAGGTCATCCAGCTCAAGCTCCAAGTAGATAAGAATAATTTCTCACGAAACCATGCTGTTCTCAAAACATAAACAAGTAATTGCCCAGCAAATGCTGGGTGGTTGGTTCTGGTTGCCAGCCTCAGCTAATTCGACTAGACTAGAAGTGCACGGCTATGACTGAATCTGGGTGATTAGCAAGTAGATAGAGAGCTTCTATTCCTCCCACATGCACCAACAGTGGCAGGCAGTAGCTATCATGCCTTTTCTCCATGGCAGCCCATCGTGATTTTTACTTTGCCCAATTCCAGCAGCAGTGGCAGCTACACTATTACGCCCCTCTCCTGGTGCAACCAAAGCCCTGCAATGTATGGCTGAGGCCAAAGCAGTGGCATGGTGATTTTGACGATGCTAGGCCTGAGCCATCACCTACAGCCAAAAATGCCACTATCACCGAGTGGAGAGATTTCAGTAGGGCAAATGCCACCAAGTGGATTGACGGTTATGCCCTAACCACCCCAAGCTCCTCCAACCTCTTCGTATTGTCATAGTGTTTTGCGTGGCATTGGGGCATGGGGAGAGTGATTGCTGGACGGGAATTTGGTTCTCATAGCAAATGCACAAGGCAGCAGTTGCTGATAGTGCCTGAGGTCTTCACTAGAGAATTCTAGAGTTTTCAAGAAGCTCCTGAGGAGAACAGAGGACATGCTGACCTGTATTGGAATAGTCTACAACAAGTGCCTAACCATGGCATTTTCTGCAAGCGTCAAACTAGCGCCTATTTGCCAGAAAGTGGTGCTTCACATTTATCTGGAGCATCTTGATGCCTTTTGCGACACTTTGGTAGAGGCCATGTGCATATCCCACCACCCGATGTAAGAGATGACCAAATGTCCACAGTTTTAGCTTCAAGGGAAATGTCGCTGCGGTGTAATATAACAACACAACGGCAGCTTGCCCATCCAAGCTCTTGCAAGCTGCTTTTCCACCTGAAGACCACAAAAGCTTGGAGGATGAGAGGCAAAGTGCTTGATACCTTTGTTCAGCCGTTACCTACTCTAGGCATCTTATGGGAATTGTGCTTGGTCTTGAGTGAGTTTTGAAACGAATCGACTCTACTAAAGATTGAATTGATAACACGCTGTTATAATCTATCTCAGTCTAACTGTCGCGACCGTTGACTCTTCAGCTTGTCGGCATATTCCCCTGAATATTAACACTCCCACTCAAGCTGAACGTCGACGTTGCGTCAGTTCTTTGGCTGCACTCCAAGTGCCTGTGCATGCTGCTGGAACAGAGCTGGAGCAAGAGCTTTGGTGAAGATATCCGCCACCATCTCCTTGGTAGTGCAGTAGACCAGCTCCACAGTCTGCAGAGCAACCTGTTCACGTATAAAATGGAACTGAACCTGAATGTGCTTGGTCCTGCAATGGAACTTCGGATTTTTCGCCAATGCTATGGCTCCTTGATTATCGCAGAAGAGCTCCGTCACTTCCTCCTGCTTATAGCTGAGCCCGTCCAGCAAAGTTCTCAGCCAAATGCACTCCTTGGCTGCTTGAGTGATGCCGATATACTCTGCCTCAGTGCTTGACAATGCTACGACTGGCTGTCGCTGGCTGTTCCATGTAACCGCTGCACTGCCCAGAGTAAACAAATAACCTGAAGTTGATCGCCGCTGATCCACTTCGCCAGCCCAATCTGCATCTGAGTATCCCTGAAGCAGCAGCCACGAGTGCTTTGTCTGGCGCTCATAGCTTAGCACAAACTCGCTGGTGCTCTTCAGGTACCGGAAAATCCGCTTAACGGCTTGCCAATGCTGGAAGCCGGGGTTGGCCAAGAACTGGGACACTACTCCCACTGAGTAGGCAATGTCCGGACGAGTACACACCATCAGGTAGACCAGGCTGCCCACCATCTGACGGTATGGAATCCGATCCATCGCTCGCTTGTCACCTTCTGTGGCCGGAGACATCTCCCGACTAAGATGCAATCCCACCTCCATTGGTGTTGACGCCGCACTGACGTCCTGAAGCTTGAACTTCTCGAGCAGCTCGTCAATGTACTTCTTTTGTGACATCTGAAGCACACTCCTCCCCCTGTCACGGAAGATCTCAATGCCGAGGCAGTACTTGACTGGTCCAAGGTCCACCATCTTGAATTTGGAGCTCAGGTCCTGCTTCAGCTGCTGAATCAGCCGCTTGCTCTTGCTGAGCAGCAGACAATCATCCACATAAAGGGCTAGGATGATGAGCTTGCCTCCCACTCGCTTCTGGTACACGTTGGTGTCTGCTAACATGCTGGTGAAGCCAAGTGACAGCAGAAACGAGTTCATCTTTGAGAACCACGCTCGGGGTGACTGCTTCAACCCGTAAAGGGCCTTTTTAAGACGACACACAAGGTGCTCCTGGCCTGGCTTGACAAAGCCTGCCGGCTGCTCGATATAGACCTCCTCATCAAGGTCACCGTTGAGGAATGCTGTGGTTACGTCCATGTGCTCCACCTCCATATCCTCCTGAGCAGCTAAATTGAGCAGCAGTCGGATAGAGGTGAGCTTCACCACTGGTGAAAAAGTCTCGTAAAAATCCACACCTTCGACCTGAGAAAATCCGTGAGCTACAAATCGGACTTTGTGTCGAGTGCTGCCATCCGGAGTCATCTTCACTCGCAGGAGGAACTTGGTTTTGATTACCTTCCGCCCTGGTGGGAGCTTCACTAAGTCCCACGTCTGGTTTGCCATCAACGCATCATATTCCACCTGACGAGCGGCTTCCCACTTGGATGCGTCTGGACCAGCTAAGGCTTCCTCCAAGGTTTGAGGCACCAAAGCATCTCTGCCTTGGCTGAAGAGTAGCATGAACGTTGACCCTTCCTGTTCTGCACCTGCCTCCTCGCTGGAAGCAAAGTAAAACGACTCACCAGAGCCTGAGGGAGCTTGAGGAGCCGATGCTGCTCTTTCTCTCACTGCCTTAGCCTCTGCTCTAGACTCACGCTTGGCAACAGCAAGATCACGCTGCTCCTGGTACTGGTGCCCTGCCTCTGTGAGCTTTGTTACTCGAGTGGATCGACGTAACGGTGGAGCTGAAACGGCAACCTCTCTGCCATCTGAAGCCTGCTGATCAAGACCCACTGCCTGATCACTCGCTTGAGAGCTCCCCCCCTGATCGGCCTGACTCCCACCCGCTGGTGAGATCGGATTACCGCCACCTGCAGCTGGAGGCTCACTAACTCCAGCTCCGATTGCTGAACCTGGCCCCAGATCACGCTGGCTCCCACCGGCTCCATGCCCTGTGGCTGAACCCTGCGTACCTGGCTGGCATCCGCTCCTCGTTCTCCCATAACTCGCTGCCCTAACTTCTTCATCCGAGTTATCCGAGTCCGAGGTAACCTCGGGCGATACCAAAGTTGGCGGTGGTGGGAGGGCCCGAGTGCCGTAAGTTCTGGTCTCGTCAAAGATGACATCTCTGGCCACAATCAACTTCTGAGTCTCCAGGTTGAACAACTTGTAGCCTTTCATCTGTTTGGAGTAGCCGACGAGAACACACTTCTGACTGGTTCTTTCAAGCTTGCTGCGATGATGTCGCTTTACATGAGCGTAGCAGACACTCCCGAACACTCGCAGATGGCTGATGTCTGGTTTACTCCCATACCAAGCTTGATAGGGAGTTTGACCCGAAACTGTAACAGTGAGCTGTCTGTTCCTCAGATAAGCGGCGGTCTCCATCGCCTCACACCAAAAAAACTTTGGAAGGCCTGAGTCTTCCAGCAGGGTTCTTGCTACATCTTGCAGCGTCCTGTTCATCCTCTCTGCTACACCGTTCTGCTGCTGAGTGTCTGGGATGGAGAATTGACGTTGTATTCCAGCTGAACTACAAAACTCATCAAATTCTCTCGACACAAACTCGCCACCGCCATCGCTCCTGAATGCCTTGATCAGCTTTCCTGTCTGGAGCTCCACCTGAGCTTTGTAGTCCTTGAACTTCTAGAACACCTCTGATTTCTTCCTTAGGAACTTGATGGCCACGATGCGAGAAAAATTGTCCACGAACGTGACAAAGTACTGTTTCCCGTCTCTGGACATATTCGGCATCGTGCCAACATCAGAGTGAACCAAGTCCAGGATTCCCTTAGCTCGGTTAGTGGATGCAGTTGGATGAGGGAGCCTATGAGCTTTACCCAGTGCACACGGCTCGCAAAACGAGCTGCCACCTACTGGAGGAGTTATGCGGAGGCCGATCACCAGCTCCTGCTTGCTTAGCTGCTTCAATGCCTGCTGGTTGGTGTGACCCAATCTCCTGTGCCAAGTCGCAGTGTCGACTGCCTTCTGGGCACCGGCGTAGCACAACCGCTGTGGCTGGATCACTTCTGCATTCAGCCTGTAAAGGCCCGAGTACCTACGTCCACTGGCCAGCATCTTGTCATCTGATCCTTTGATCCTGCAGCCATTGTTGTCAAACTCGACTTTAAGGCCATGATCAGCGATCTTCCCGACTGAGAACAGCGTCTTCGGGACTCCAGGAACGTAGTACACGTTGTGAATGGGAACCACTTGTCCAGATGCTAGCTGCACCTGAATTGTC